AATGGTAATTTCTGTCCTCACTAGACATTAGTGATATCGTCAATCCTGAACGGGATTCGAACCCATGACCTCTGCGATACCGGTGCAGCGCACCAGGCGAATCGTAGAGCTGAGGAGAACTGGAGTGGTACATTTTAACCCCCCTTCTCCTTTCTCTCGGAAAAAAGAAAGGAATGCGAGATTCGAATCGTATCATTAAAGCTCAAGTGCACATTCTCGTTTTTTCGAGCCCAGGGGCGACGAGTTTGGCATTGCATTGGCCAAATATGCAGGAGGAAATATCCAGTTGGATGATGAGAAGGGAGTCCTGGCACTCGGAAACTTGAGCTATAAATACATCGACGATCCGGATCTTCGTGGGATACTTGCAAATGCAGAGCTGGATGCCAGCAAAATGAAGTCTTTTGCAGAAAGTGATATATTGCTTCTCATTACTTCTATTATTTACAGCGAAAAGTTTGAACTGAAAGGGAAAAGAATGCATCAGGTAAACACCCAATTTTATCTCTGGTTTATCAGGTACTATCTCGACTGGGAAAAGGATATGATGGAATTATTTTCTCTTGAGAAATTTCAATCCGATCATCTGAAGTTGATGCCGTTAAACAATGTCGTCCCATCAAAGCCAACTTTATTTCCAAATTCCAAGGAAAAAAGACTTCCGTCCATCCAAAAGCGGTAGAGATTTTAAAAGAAAAGGTGTTTTCATTTATTTGATCTACAGACTGAAGAAGCCATGGAAGTGGGAAATCTTCCACAGTATTTGCAGTTTCTCAACCTAAACAAGACCTCGGCTATGAGGATTCATGCTAAGCACATGTACATTCCTCCAGATGCAGCGGCAAGGAACACAGAAGCACCCTTTCTCTTCAAGTGCTGCCGTGTCGGTTACAATAAAGAAACTAATCGACTGGAAATCTGCAAAGGAGAGTATGTCGGGAAAGTTGTAACTCTTCACAGAGCAGTGGATGCCCCATTCAGTGAGGAGGGCGCCGAGTATGACGACACTCCGGTAGAAACTACAGATCAGACAGATTTACCAGGTAAATGTAACAGATACGTACGTAGAAACATGAAATAGTGATATTTACTGAAACGTCCTCCTCCAATCGATATATGTTTGTAGAAAGGTTGGCTCTATCGTTAATGTCGCGTAACACACACAAAAAGAAATTCTTTAAGCCATAATCTCTAATTATCAGAGTCGTTTCCATGAAAAGAAAAACCACCACTAGTTCTTTTATCCATCTGGATGGCTGTGACGGATCAGTCGCAGTTATTACTTATAAGTTTTCGGCAATATCTCGGGTACCAGTTCAAATCTCAGCAAATTTTTCAGCTATCAGTTAATTTTATAGATCTTATATCTCGTCCATCAGCTCGAAAACGAGCCTTTTTGCAGCAAATGGTTTTCCTATTGAATCGTAGACAAATGAATAACGTGATAAAAGAAATGGTCTTCCAAACTTCGTTTTGCATTTTTCTTTGTGGATGCTTTCGCTGATGCTTGATAAGGATATTAATGATACTTTCCTTGCGCTTTGCATTTGGCCTCAAAGGTCAATATGGTTACTGAAGCATGCGTAAACTCACAGCCCCGCAGTGGTACAAGGGAAGGCTGTCGATAGAACCCCTCCCCTAATTTTCGTTGAAACAAGACATATCTAAATTGTTTTGCATTTACGTGAGTATAACATATTTTTGTTGGTATACACATGACGTCATTAAGCTATCTTGAATCCTCATTATTGTATTTCACTGTGTTCTCAGAACGTCAGAAAATTTAATGAAGAATTTATATTAAGCAATTTATTTCATTTTTATGGCAACGCAACTTAAGCAAGCGAAATAAACAAGTAAACAAAGAAACAAAAAAGAACAACTTAAAAACGAAGACTTCTGTCAAAAATGACGAGATTTGACTTGATGTGCGTGTCAAAACTCGGTTGCTATGGCAATGCCAATTAACCCAGAACAATAGTTGACATGCCTAAAACTTGTCAAACAATGAATGAACAGCTACTGAAAGTCTCAGCATGACAGGGTAAATCTTCTTTTCAGGGTTCAGAAAAAAACCATCTAGGAGGGAGGGGGCTGTCCAACTACCCATCGCCCGTACGAGGGTCAAGATACTGTAAGTTTTCTATTCTTTAAACAACCAGACTGTCTCACAGCCAAAGATATAGAGAAACTGGACAATATAACTAAAGTAGTGCTGTTAACAGAGAAGACCACAGCACAGCGTAAAGCTCGCGTGAGCAAGTATCTACAATGGGTAAGTTTCATGCAACTAATCAGCGCCTTCTCCTGTTAGTGGCCCAAACAGCAGTCAGTTTGGGTTTTCTAGAATAGTTCGTTCTGTCTTTTGGTTGGTGTGTCTTTATTTTTCTGACTGCATGTTTGTTTGTGTGTCTGGTTGTCAGTCGCTGCGTGGACGAGTAGTTAGTCTAGTTAGGGTGTTGTCCCTGAAATGCGGAGATTGCGTTAGACTCCAGTTCGGTCCTTTAGTGGGTCGATCGGTCTGTTTATCAATCGGTATTTTGATCTGTCTGTCTAACTGTCGATCCGCCATTTGTTTGTTTGTCTGTCTTTCGTCTATCTTCTGATCTGTGCTCGACACAGTGCAATCACAATTACCCGTTATTTTCATGCATGTCCGTAACGTAATGATTCTCCCTTGGCTATCTCTAATGTGCTAATCGATCTGGCTTTCATATGAATTGTTTCTCAGTAATCATTAATTATACTGGCATTCAATTTCTTTCCATAAAGATTTATAGACGAGTAATTTTTTTTCCACAGTTTGAAGAAGCACTGATGACTAACAATAAATTCTTGGACCTTGACGAGCCAATGACATTGAAAGATTGTGCTTTCCTGGGAAGTGTCTACCTTCCTTGCGAAGAGGGTTCAACTGAGGTGGATCTGACATCTCTCTCAACAGCAGAAATTCAAGATTTTGCAATTGTGTTTAAAGTGCTTGATGGTAAGAACATATATAATATCTCTTCCGCTGTTACGCAATCCCTTACATTCTATGCCTCCCTTGTGATCATGCGCGCATCCACTATATTCACTATATTTGGTATATGCTTGTCATAACATTAACAAACTATCTCGACTCGTGACGACAACGGAAAATTCACTAATTATCTATACAAAGGGCAGTAGACTGGCTGTGTGAGCCTGGAGAACTTGAGTCAAGACTGCTAACTTTTCAAACAGTTTATTTTTTCAGTGTCACGCTGTCTAGTACATGCATGCAGTTTTAAGATCCGATAGTAACAGACGAATTGGATGACTCTAAGTTATCACGAGATTCGTAGTTTAAATATAAATTCATTTTCCAATAGGCTTGATTATCGGCGTCGTCCTCACGGTTGCTTAATTGAACTCCCTGTTTCTACTTCTTCATCGTCTGACTAGCTTGTGATATTTTAGGAAAAAATTAGCTCCTGTCCCGGTTCCAGGGAACTCTAAAGAGTTACTC